GTACTAAACCCACTTTAGGGATGCATTTTTAAGATTACTCATTGTAGAATTGATTTAGAAATACAAGAAAATTAGTGCAAAAAAAATCTAACTATCCAAAAAAAAAAAAATTCAATCTATGATTATATTATATATAGGGTTTCTTGTTTTTACAATTTTATACCGTTTGAATTATATACAATAGTTTCTTCTTCTATTTCTATATACAAAGAAAAAGGCCCAGCTGTCTTATTTTTTAAAAATTACTAAAAAAAAATTTAAAACTATACTATTTCAACAAATTTTCATTGAAAACTAAAATATTATATTTTTAAAGTATAAATTAGATTTTTTTTTTGTCTTTTCACATGATATATATTTTATTAAAATAACGTACTTTTAAGGTAATTATTTTAAAATTTTTAAAAGATAAGAATATTTATTATCAAATTAATTAAAAAGATTGTTTAGAGTAATATATATGTGCGCATGTCAACTAGGAGACTTTCCAATTTTGATTTATTTATTTATTATTGGGGTATTTTTAAGGTAATTTTTACGTATTTTAAGACTAATTGATATTACACCCTCTACACCGACATAATACATTCAAATAAATTAATCCTAAAGTTTAGACTTTAAATATAATTTATAAGATGATATTTACTTATAGATAGATCTAATTTTTAGACTTTCAAATTTTGATTAATGTTTATATAATATACACCCTCTTTTTATTTTGTGGGATTTACAGGGTAAGATAACCCTTCAATGGCTTCACAGGTAAGGGATCTGTTTTTCACTTTTGATAACTAATCCAATGAAAATGGTCCATATCAGAAATAAACCCAAAAATGAAAGGCAATCTGATTGACCACTTAAGGTCATTTGTTATCTGTTCTTCACGCCCGCAACCTCAAACATGGACCACAGCCATAAAATTGGCCTGAACAGGATTGAAGGGCCTGTCACAAGAAATTAAGAAACCCAAGAGGCTGTGGCTCTAAATAAATATATATATATATATATATATACATACACACACATTAGTCTTCCAATATTCATTCGCGAGAAAACGACAGTTCTGCCATGTCCACATTTAATTTACATGTGCCTAGTAGGAGTCTATAGTTACCCCATTTTGACCCCATGCTAGATACATATTAGCAGCTACCCACCACGACCTGCTTAATATATACATATAACTAAACTTCTCTTTCTTCAACCACAACTGGTAAGCCACCTCTGACGGTGGCCGTGAGCCCGGGAATGAACCTCGGTGCCTGAATCGGATCAGCAACACGGATGTGGAACCGCCTCAGGAGGGCAGCGGCCACACATTTCATCTCCATCACTGCCATTTCCTTCCCCAAACAAACCCTAAGTCCGGCTTGGAAGACCGGATACTTGAATGGATTTTGTTGGACAAACTTCCCGTTTTCCAACCATCTTTCTGGCTTGAACTCCATGCTGTCGGAGCCCCAAACTCGCTCCATCCGACCCATTGCGTACTGATGGTAGGTGACCCTGGTTCCTCCCCTCACAAATGTACCGTCAGGCAAAACGTCGTCGTCTTTAGCGAACTTGGAGTCAAACTGCACCGGCGGAAATAGCCTCATGCTTTCATACAAAGCAGCATGGAGATAATGCAATTCTTTCATGGACTCAAACCCTTCCAGCTCCTGATTCGGCCCTATAATTCTGTCCAGCTCGTCTTGGATTGCCGACTCGACTTCCGGGGATTGAGATAGCAACCAGAAGAAGCTCGTCAACCCTGAGGCCACCGTGTCACGACCGGCTAACAAAAAGCTGATGACTATGTCTCTGAGATAGTTGTCGTCGTTGACGGACGCCATAAACCTCGATAAAAGATCGTTTTTGTCGGAGAACCCCATTTTCCGGCGGTGGTTTATAACCTCGTCCGCTAATTGGTTCACCATTTTAATGGCTTCTTTCAGCTGCTTCTCCGATCCTAAGTTCAGCAGCCGTTTTGTCTTCCATATAATGGGCGACGCCGCCAGGGCTCTTTCTGCCGATAATTTCGAGGCAGTATCAAACGCCACGGCAAGTTTCGAAATCGGCAAGGATAAATTGAGACAACCAGGGTCGATCCCGAAGGAGAACTTACAAATGTTGTCGAAGGAAAACCGCCGGAACACGTCCTGCATATCCAAAACGTCTCCGTTTCTCGCAAACGACGACAGGAGAGGGATCAGTCTGGTTTGAATCTCCATCTTGACAAGCTCAAACGCGTAGAGTCTAATAGAGACGCTACCGAGTTCCAAGCTCGCCATTTTCCTTTGAAAGTTCCAGGACTCACCGTCGACATTGAAGATACCTTTGCCGAGAAGATCGCCCAAAATCGCAGAGAAAGGTTTCCCTTTTGGGTAGTTGTCGAACCTGGTTTTAAGAATGTGCTCGACGTTAGCGGGGTTGGCCGTGATCGTGTTGCGGAGGACATGGATGTGGATGGTTCCAGTGGGGGACTTCCGGAGAAGATGAGTGTACCAGTCACAGAGATTATCGAAGTCTTTGGACCACCTTGATGAGAGAAAAGCCTGACAGATTTCGCAGGAACACCCGAATTTCAGCCTCAGGAGAAAAATCAAGAGAGAAAAAAAGGAAAACAAGAAGGTAAAAGAGAAGAAAATGGAGCAGAAAATGAAGCTAATTTGTGACTCCATTTTTTTTTTTTTGGGGGGGATTAATTAAGGAGAGAAAAAGGAAGGTAAGGGGAAGGAGAGGGGGATAGGGATATATAGAAAATTGTGCCGGCAATTGATGAACAGTAGTACAGATTACAGCACAAAAGTTAATGTTGTGCATGAATAACACGTGCCCAAAATAACAGTCGTTGCTCAGTATGGGCCCCGCCGTCGGTTTCTTTGTTAAATGCTATGTTTGCGACTAGGATGATTTGGATTTTGGAGAAACCAATTCAGCCACGTGTTATATATCCAGATTTTCCGCGCGCGTTTCGGTAGAGAAAATGTGTCGAAATTTCACCTTTTTTTAAAAATTAAAATATTGATTTTATTTTTTAAAATAAAAATATTAATTTTAATATTTATTTATTATATTAATATTATTGTTTAATTAATTTTTAAATAAAAAAATATTTTTAACTAAAAAAATATAAAATTAACATATTTATTTTCGCCTTTTCTCCTCCTTTCATTATGTTCAGCTTATTAGCCGTTTTATCGCTGCCGGTGTCGGCCCGTTAAAAAGAAGACGCCAACTCAGCGGATAGATTTATTAAAAAAAATATGTGTTTTTATTGTATAGATTAAGGGTAAATTTATTATTTTTTATTATTAATTTATATAAAAAAATTATAAAAATTAAAGTATACAAGTGTAATAATAATCAAAGT